CAGAATTATTTAATTGTTATAATTTTTCTTATATTTGTTATGTTATTATGTTGTAAGCCACCTAGAGTGGTCGAAATGACCAGATAGGCGGGGTATAAATAGAATGAATGAATGAATGAATGAATGAATGAATGAATGAATGAATGAATGAATAAATAAATAAATAAATAAATAAATAAATAAAGAAACACCAACTTCTTTTAGCGCCTTTAAGACTGGCAGACCTATTTCAGTGTGCATTTTTATATGACTTATAAAACATTTCCTCAACTTCTGACATTTAGATTCAGCCTTAGCATATAATGCCGTAAAAAGAGCTATTCCATTATTCTGCTTTACTTAACTTGGGTGACAGTAGAGGTTTGAGGTTCAACAGGCTGGCCTTATTCAGTTTGAGGTTCAACAGGCTGGTCTTAATCTGTTCCACCTCAACTGTCAGTGGAATCCAGAATGTTATCAATAGATCTTTGCAAAATGCATATTTTTTTTAAAAAAAGACCCTGTTTTTACAAGGTACATATGCATCCATCAGATACATTCAAAACAATACCTGAGCATGATTTAATCCATGGAGGAGATGTGTACAATTAGTGTAAGTTAAAACATGCTGGAATACATGCATATATTTAAAAACAAATAAGAGACAAAAAACAAAGGAAGTAGTGAAGATAGGGTCATACTGTATTAAAAAAGAGGAAGGAAGGAAGGAAGGAAGGAAGGAAGGAAGGAAGGAAAGTCTGTCCAGTGAGACAATGCAAGGAACAAAGTAGGACGCATATACAGACTTCAGAGAAATGCAAATTCATAGAGGTGGGTCAGGCTCCACCAGTCCAGGTAGTGGTATCTCCAGGCTCCTCTGATGGATGATGCAAATGAAGTGTGCAAGGGTCTGAAAGACCCAAATCAGATTTCTTTCAACTTGGATCCACCCACCAGGTGGTTTGGGACTGTATCCAGAATAGAACAATGGAGAAACAATCTATTATGTAGTGTTGAACACCACCCTGCTCGGATTATAAAATGTGTGCCGTGTCTGTAGAAAGCCTTTCTTCAGGAGAGGGTGAGTAATTGAAATGGGTGCTTGCACTAAAAATGTAACCTTTTGGATTATCTTGGTGTATTCATGTTTTCATTTCAAGTTCACCCCACTTCTTGCCCTCAGAGCTGACCTGAGTACAGCTGCTACCACCTCTTTTCTTTTAGTCAATAACTGTAACCGTTGGTTGCTGAGTTTCAGTAGACTGAATTAACTTTAAAGTCGGTAAAAATACTTAGAACAGTATTAACAATGGCAAGCAACAATGGCAAGCACAACACTACCACTGACTCATTTACTTTACATCCTTCATGCATTTGACTGCTTTGACACTGATGCACACCAAAATAATACTGTGTAAGCTACATCACCTGGGTCTCAATGGATTTTGTTTACTAAAAGTCTTATATGAAATAAACAGATATGAGATCTGAATCAAAAAATGCAAGCAGTTTTCATTTTCCTGTTGCCCAGGAAATATTATAGTATAAAATGACAAATTGAAAGTGTCTTTAGTAACAAATACTTTCTGTCTCAGTTGGTATTTCAAACCAACCCTACTTCTGAAGGAATTTGTGTACTTCTATGCCTCTGTGGCTAAAATCCTGTTGCATAGCATAGTAAATTGCCCTAGAATAGGCTCACTGAATGGGGATTTAGTGAGTCAACTCCTCCACCTAGAATAGGCTCACTGAATCAATGGGGATTTAGTGAGTCAACTCTTCCATGAGTTCCATTGATTCTAACTGCAATTTACTATGCTAAAGTAACTCGCAAGTAGAGGAGGCCCATTTGAGTAATTTCCTTTAAATGACTGGTTTAACCAAGAGCATTTTTAAAAAGGGAACATTTTATTCAGTGTTATACTTGTGTTTTTAATATTGTTCTTTTTATTGGTTTTAATATGACATATGCTTAATGCTTTCTTATAATTATAATATTGTATCATTTGGCTTTTAACGTTTTTTTCTTTTAGTATTGTAAGTTACCTTGGACGCTTTTGCAAGCAGCTTATAAACAATAAATATCGATGAAAGTTAAGGAATGTTTACTTATGAAACTTAGGGAAACTTATGAAAATATATTTTAAATCAATAATAAATATCAATGAAACTTGTGGAAGGGTTGACTCATTAAATCTTCATTGATTCAATGTGCCTACTCTAGTGTGATTTGCTATGCTGAACAACAGAATTTGGATCATTATGTACAAATGATGCACAGTTTAAGAAGAACAAAGTGTCTTTTGGCTAAAGATGGAGAAGAATTTTGTTGAGTCCAACTGTCTGTACAAATGTAGCCTTCATCTCTCAAGAGGAAATGGGCCTTGTCATGAGAATTCCCACAAGGCTTACATAGTACTTTAGAGAAATATTGTCCATAAAGCATGTTTAAGGATGTGAAGGGCTGCAGTGCTTACTGCTGAAGAAACAAATGCACAGAACTGGGGGGAGGGAGTTTTACAAATTAGAAACAATGCATAAATGTATACACACATTTCCATGCACAAACTGAAACTTGGACAAAGTCTCTGAATCCTGTATGAATCTAGGATACAAAGGTGAGTTTTGAAGAAACATGTAAAAGTTAAGATTGAGAGATCTTTCCATGCTAATTTTGTCTTTTAATATAGGGCTGGATGGTCTGCAGCCCACCAGATAGGATTCTACTTCCCATCATCCCCAGTAGACCAGTGGTGAAGGATGATGGGAATAGTGAGAGATAGTTGATTCTTTCATAGGTTTGTTAAACTCTCTGAGTTTGTGGCCAGTTTTTCTATGGTGATACTAGAGACTGAACACGGGATCTTAAAAATGCAAACCATATGCTTAGTACTTACTGCTGCCGTGAGGCCTCTTTTAAAAGTTTTAACAGGTCCTACCAAATGCGCTTGTTATGAGACTTCCATTTATTTCTTGTTTTCTTTTGTTCAAGTCTGTATCTTCTATCTGATTTTGCAATCTCCCTTTGCCAAGCTTCTTCAAAGGCTTCTTGAACAGGTAGATTTTGTTAATTAATTTTTGTGCCTGGAGCAACAGCAGAGTAATTTATCTTTAAGAGGCTACTGGTTATAATGATGTGCATTCTTTCTAGACAAAAAAGAAAAGAAAAGAAAAGAAAAGGGACTCATAATTTGCCCCAAACCTCTATTTGATTATCAGTGTTCGGCAAATCTCCAGCAGTTTCAGATATTAAGAACTATTAGCAAGCCGTGTTCCATTGAAGTTCAATATAAGCACACACACACACACACACAGAGAGAGAGAGAGAGAGAGAGAGAGAGATATCCCAAATGAAGAGGACCTGTATGCCATGTTACAAGTCTACAGTGTATAAACGCTAAAAACTGGATAGCCTCGACCCCTTTGCAGAAGTCAAATGTTCAGCTCAGTTTTTCTTCTATATTTGTTTTAGGTTACTTAGGATGCATGAATCCAGTTGCTTGTACACTGAAAAAGCCTGACATTTTGGACTCTAATCCCCACTGCTCCTCGTTGTTAGTCATGGGAACTGTAGTGCATAATGACCAGAGAATACCAAATTACTCCTGTGCACCAGTTGTTCACCAGAATTAAATTGTTTCCTGTCCTTTTTAATGCTTTCATCTAAGTGTTTTTAATTTTTAAATACAGCCTGCAATCACTCAACAAGCGCATACAACCATAATGCCTTTCACTTTAGATGGATTTGATAATGCATATTTTCCACTGCAGAGAATGTCATTTTTGAAGATTTAAACAGGATACTGTGATTATTTCCCTCTTTCTGAACAGGGTTTTTGGAACTTCCCCAAGGATTTTCTCTGCTATCAAAATCAGAAAATGTAACGTTTGGAAGAGTGTATCGCTTTGGTACTTATTAGATATGGAAGATTAGGCAAAACACAATAGCTTAATGAAAGGAAAGGGTATCAATTAAAATGCCATGTTTTCCATTCTAAAGAAGACTGCCCCATCCCAATCTCCTGAAAAGAAACCAGAAGTCTTTGTTGCATGTACTTTCTGATTCATTTTTCCAAATGGTAATTCCAGACATAGTGGTCTCCCAAGTCCTGACACCTCGCCCACCCCTAATCTAAACTAACTGTTGAAGTTTCTGTAGAAAGAGAAGTTGAACGCTGAATGATTAGGGCATTAGTAATGAAACTTCTTCATACTAAGCATATTAAAATAATGTGTTTAGTAAAGACATGGGAGAGAAGAATGAGACTTTAGACTCTTTACAATCAGGAATTCTGAGCAAGATTATCGAAACTTTTCATGCGTAAACAAGTGTAAATTCATAGGGTCTTTACTAAGTAATGTCGAATAAGCTGCCATTGTTATGTTCAGGCACATGAGCACTGAGAAATATGGCCAGTAAACATAATCTCTGCCCTTCTTCACAATTATTGGCTGTAGAGGGAGTAAAGAAAGGCTTCTTTGGATACCACTTCTGAAGATTGGCTAGGTACCTTAATCAGATTCCGACATCAGCGTTCATTAAATTGTTCCTATATTTTAAGTGATCAAAGTGGCATTGGCTTTCTAGGTTACGAGAAATTATGCATGCCTATATGAACATCTGCTGTGCTGCAAAGAAAATACCAAAATGCATTCATGTGGGATTACCAAAAACAAAAAATAAAAAAACTCAGATGATAACTGTGCTGATCAAAAAGAATGTGGTGTTTAGATTATAATTAGGTGTAAAATTATTTTCATGCTATTTCCCTACTGTAATAAACTTTGTTTATTCCTTACCTGCTTCTGAAAATTTGACTTATTTTTTCTTCTTGGCTCATCATTGTAACTTATGTGTTTCTCAGCTGAGTAACATCAGTATCATTGGTTTTTCTCCAAATATATTTATATTTATTTTTTTCTTTCATTCATTCTTAATAATCCTGCCAACCCTTGTAGGCCTGCTTCACAATGACATCTGGCTAACCAGTCCTATTTACTTTACATTCTTTTACCCATAGATAGATGAAATGCAGTGGGGCAAAGGAGTGAAGAAAATCCCTACTTCTGTCTGCAGCCTTCCCTGTAAACCAGGAGAACGAAAGAGGATTATTAAAGGGATGAGTTGCTGTTGGCAGTGTGAATTGTGTGATGGATACCAATACCAGTCTGACGAAGTGAGCTGTAAACTCTGCTCCTATGATCAACGGCCCAACGAGAATCGGACAGGATGCAGTCCCATCCCTATCGTGAAGCTGGAGTGGCATTCCCCTTGGGCTGTCATCCCAGTCTTTTTAGCCATGCTTGGAATTATCGCCACCATTTTTGTCATGGCAACCTTCATTCGATACAATGACACCCCCATTGTGCGGGCTTCTGGAAGGGAACTCAGCTATGTTTTGTTGACAGGAATATTTCTGTGTTATATCATCACTTTCTTAATGATCGCCAAGCCCGATGTGGCGGTGTGTTCTTTCCGGCGGATCTTCCTAGGATTGGGAATGTGCATAAGTTATGCAGCTCTGTTAACTAAAACAAACCGTATCTACCGCATATTTGAACAGGGCAAAAAATCTGTGACAGCACCCAGGCTTATTAGCCCAACGTCACAACTAGCCATTACGTCAAGTTTGATATCAGTACAGCTTCTTGGGGTTTTCATTTGGTTTGCAGTTGACCCACCCAACAGTTTCATAGATTATGATGAACATAAGCCAATGGAACCAGAGCAAGCCAGAGGAGTTCTCAAATGTGACATTACGGATCTACAAATAATATGCTCTTTGGGGTATAGCATTTTCCTAATGGTTACATGTACTGTGTACGCCATCAAGACTCGGGGTGTCCCAGAGAATTTTAATGAAGCCAAACCCATTGGATTTACTATGTACACTACCTGTATAGTATGGCTTGCCTTCATTCCAATATTTTTTTGCACTTCGCAAGCAGCTGAAAAGGTAGGTGAAAATTAAGTAACTTACGAAACCGTTATTACTAAGAAAGAACACATGGAAATTTTTCTTGAAACAGCTTTCTAAAACATTGACCAACAGCTAGCTAAAAATGTTTATTGCACTTTCAACTTTACATAATGTTTCTGTTTCGCCTGTGAAGTCAGTTTCTAAGTTTTTTAAATTAAACTTAAAATTGAATGTTGTCAAGGCCTGCTTTGTAGAAACCCCAGGTTATTCATGATTCAGATCAGCTGAGAGCAAAAGATGATTGATGATAGACGGGCTCTCTATTGTACAAATGAATTTTTTTTTTCAAAATTTATGTGTTAGTTCAGCCTGACCTGCCTAGGCAGAACATTACAGTAAGTACTTAGATGATTTCAGCGTTTGTTGTGGTGGAAGATACTAAGCTGATATTAGTGGGTTGAACTCTTTGCTTTTTGATCTTTTGTTGCTTAATAGAGTAAGCCCTAACTAGTTTAGTACACCCATTGAATCAGTGGGGATTTGGTGAATCAACTTCTCCATAATTTCAAGTAATTAATGGAAAGGGAGAACCAGTGTGGACTGCTTCTGACTATTTACATCCAGTACAACAAGAGAATCAACAGAGTGAAAAATATGTTTACTGCTGCTCAAAGATTCAGTGGGCCTTTTCAATTGCAACTTCCTATGGTAAGCAGAAGGATTTCAGCCAGTTTGTTTAGAGCCACATGAAAATAGAAGTCAAGAATGACCCATGTCAAAAATAATCATTTAAAACTATCAACCATATTATTTTCTACTGAAGTTTAATGTACTTTTTTGAAGATGTGTAATATGATGATTGTTGCTGAATGTTCAAGTAATTAATGGAAAGGGAGAACCAGCGTGGACTGCCTCTGACTATTTACATCCAGTACAACAAGTGCCACCCAGAGTAGACCCAGTCTAGATTGGCGGGGTATAAATCTAATAAAATAAATAAAATAAATAAATAAAATAAATAAAATGAATCAAGAGAGTGAAAAATATGTTTACTGCTGCTCAACTCAGGGTCAGCTTCGAAGACTCAGGGTCAGCCTCGAAGAGTCAGACACTGGCAACTGTATTCAATACCCTCCACTTCGATGCCCTTTTGTCCTGGAACACCTTGACAGATCTGCTACATTTAAGTTTAGAAGAGGATTCTTTATTTCTGCCAGTGTTGATGTAAGATCCGATTGCCATTTTGTACAGGCCAGTTGATGGGGAGTACAGTCTTGTCATTTGCCTCAGGCTGCAAAAAAAAAGACTCAACTCACACTCCCATTATTGAAAATGAAAGCATAATAGTTGAAATTAGAGATGAGGTATTGATATTTATCTCCTGGGGGAGATGAATAAGAATATTGCCACTACAGGTGACCGAGCTGATTGGGCCTTCCCCCTGGATCAGGGCCATCTGCTTACCACTTGTGGCATGGCACACACAGCCATCATCATTCATGCCATGCCAATTGCGGAAATAGACCAACCAGGGCTTCTCTGTCTCCCTGCGCTGCTGACCAATCTGGCAAGATGGCGGGATGGCGAGATTCCCCACTGAGTAGTCAGCAGCGCAGAGAGATGGGGAAGCCCCAGACCGGCTAAAGTTTCCCCACTGAGTGGTCAGCAGCACAGAGAGATGGGGAAGTCCCAGACCGGCTACTTCCATGATAGGTATGGAGTGAAGGATGACTGTGTGTGTCACACCACAAGCAGTAAGTGGATGGCCCAGTTCTGGGGGCAGGGTCCAATTGGCTCAGCCACCTATGGTGACAATATTCATATTTCTCTTTCCTGCCTGGGAAATAAATACGAATATCCCATCTCTAGTTTAAATAATTTGAGTGTGGATCTTTAGACCAGCCATTCTCAATTAAGATAGGGGAAAAAAGATTTGGTGCTGTTCATAGGTACATATATCAGTATGCTGCAAGTGTGTTTAGATAATTAAGGGCTTGCTTTCTATTCTGCACATGCAACTAAAGCAGCCTCTCTTTTACAGAATGTCATTTTCTTAGTATTTGTCTTTGACTGTCTCAAGAGCCAACACATTGTCACATTATAGGAACTAGCTAGAAATATGAGAACATCATAGTAATCTACTCTGGTCTCTAGAACAATATAAATGAATAAATTACATAAATAAATATATGTAATTTATTTATTTATTTGATTTTTACCTCTCCTTTCTCCCCTAGCTGGGATCGAAGGCAGTGTATACTTGATGATAAATTGTGTTTATTAAACCTCTGTGAATGGTTTCAACAACTTTCCAGCATATTTCACATTACTTATTTTACTCACAGAGTTAAGAACTTTTTGCTAGAACATGACCAAATTGCATTTCATTTTCTCCTTCAGTTTGCTCTAGTTTTATGATTTGTGTACTGAGGATGAGCTTAAAATCTAAACAATAGCAGAGAAAGAGTAATAGTAGCAGCGCAGTTGTTTTTCTAAAGCACAACTCCACCTCTACTTCTAGTCCACACATTCAAACATCATTGCTTCTTTGGGTTTTGCCTCCAGATAGCATGTCTACTTCATCATCTGCATTTGTGTAATTCATGCACAAGTTCTTAAGGATCTGTGTCAAATGTCTTCCTTGTGTCTAGGTGCCTTATATCCATAGTAGTCCCCTTGGCTCACAATATCTGTTTCCATATCAAAGTAGGATTTCTTCAGCTGATACGATTTGTTGTTAACAAATGCATTTTGATGGATAAGAATATATCAACACATATTATAGACTTGCCATTATATGTATGGATTTTGTTCAGTACATCCCTACTTATAGTATAGCCATTTCTCAAACGAAAATGGATTGGCTGTTTTTGTAATTTCATCTCGCTTTGTGAATGGAGTTTAGGAATTGTCCCAAATATGCTTATTTATTGGAAGGCCATATCACAAGCCAAACAAGAAGCATCATATCCATGTGAGCCAACAAAAATGAAGTTATGTACTTATAAAAGCTGAGATTTCTTGCGTAAGTAGCATCCATGGTTGGGAAATCAGAATCATTCGCCTTATTTAAAGGTGAAGAAGAATTCCAAAGTAAGCAGTAGAACAGTATTGAATGATAATAGTGTGGTGTCCGGTTAATTCTGACTTACGGCAACCCTTTCCAAGGTTTTCTAGCTATAGCATAGTAAGATGTGATTTACCACTGCCTACCTCTGGGGGAACCCTGGGGCCATATAAACTGATCAAGAGTACACAGACTGGCTATCCTCCCAGGACAGGCAGTGGGGACTCCTAACCTGTACCCCATTCACTGAGCTATCCAAACAGCCAAATAATATTTTGGTGCTACCAAAAGTAGATCCTGATAGTCTTTGGAGAAGCATAAAAATTCCACTGGGGTTTGTTTGCAGTAGGTAATCTTAACCTGGTGTTTCTATGAATCATACCAGATCAAAGTGCAGTAACTGGGCATGCCATTTCATTGGCAAAATTAAATCCACCTGGAAAAGGAGAAAGTTCATGCCACAAAAAATATAGATCCTTGACCAATTTCCAGACCAAACGTTGCCATTCACTGAGGTACCCTAAAAATGTAACTAGATCATCTTAATCTCAGATCTGGCACACTTTACCCAAATGGCTACACCATACAGAAGTTGAGCTGAGGTTTTTGCACAAGATACACCCTTGGAATATAATATTTTTTGTAAAAAGCTGAAATATTGTATACTGCTAGAAGTGCAGAGGCTCTATTGCAGCTTCATGGAAGCAGTTACAATAGAGTTTTTTTTAATATTGCACACACAATTCATCTTGCAAATCTCCAAATTCTGTGTAAGGCTGCCAACACACACAGAGAGAGACACACACTCAAAAACAAAATATTGTCATTTGACCAAAGAAGAAAATGTTGTTTTTGCAAGAAAGTACCATACATCCATACTAATATCTAAACAGTTGTCACAAGAGAGTAATTTGCATGTGATTCCTTTTCCAGCAATGAAGGCATAGCTAAGTTATTTTTCAACTGTAACACAATGAGATTATAATCTTACTCTTCTTATGGTGTAACAATAACCCTTATATTAATTTTATATTTATAGTGGCATAGTCTCACCAATCAAAGAGCAGGGATATAATCATGCCATACTTCATGCCTGTGCCATGTGCTGTCTTGTGGAGGTAAATGAGAAAAGGGCATGTTTTGTAACATAGGTCATCAGTGGGTAGTATTGAGTTAAAAAAAGTACTGTAAATGTAATGGATTCCTAAACTCTTTTATTTATTGTCAAAAACAGGAAATAGATACTTTTCTAAAACAAATTGTACCTAGCCCCTTGGGAGACTTTGAATATATCTGTAGTTGTTTTAAAATTAACTTTCCAAAGTTTGGCTACAGGAAAATGCCAAAGGAATAGAATTCCACAGCTAGGGAGCAGGCATGAAAGACCCCTCCACAGGTCCCAGCTAACCTTGCTTCAGCTTGCACTGGGTGCAGAGATGGATATAATACATAAATCTCTAGCTGTCTGTGAACTGAACATTTTTGGATTTGAGGTGATATCTGATTGTGGATGAAAGACAAAGTTACTTCAGATTTCTCATGCACCTTCTCTGATCATTTTTATTCATTTGTTCATTCATGTGCTGGGATGCCCTTGAAGATGGCCAATATCCATTCAATTCATGTTTTCATGTGATTATATCTAATTATTGTGGGTTTTTTAAGTGACAGCCATTTGCCATAGATTGCAATTACTAATGAAACTATACATTTACTGTACATGAAGTGAATTTTGGGCTGAAGGGATGGTGTGTGTTTAGTCGTTTAGTCGTGACCGACTCTTTGTGACCCCATGGACCAGAGCACGCCAGGCCCTCCTGTCTTCTACTGCCTCCCGGAGTTGTGTCAGGTTCATGTTGGTTGCTTCGCAGACACTGTCCAGCCATCTCATCCTCGGTCGTCCCCTTCTCCTCTTGCCATCACACCTTCCTAACATCAAGTTTTTTTCCAAGGACTCTTTTCTTCTCAT